GCTTAGTGGTGGCGACCAATCCAACCGCCTTCAACGCCGCGCCACGACAACCTGACACCCTGCCACACGCTCCCATGTTTCCTGCAGTTCATGTGCGTTCCTGGCTGGCACCTGTCATGCCCCATTATCTGATGGATTACGAAACAACATCTGGAGAACCAACTAACCATATTTCAAACTAAAACAGTATGACCATTTCAGAGGAAGCAGATGGGAATAAACTTTACCTAACTAAACCTGATTGCAACATCCCCTTACGCAAGGACACGCTAAGTCTCCTTACAACCCTATTTACACACACAAAACAAGAAGTTCTGGGAAGAACTAATCGCCTACTTTCCTTTTGACATGACACGTAACGGAGAGAAAAAGAAAACAAATCACGGGAACATGGGCGGACGGACAGACACAGCAGGTTACATCTTAACGCCCCTTTTATTGTTTTCCAAAATAAGTAAAATAGGCTACGTAAATATAGATAAAGATCAGAAAACACGTAATTTCGTGATACCACAGCAATGAACTGTCAAACATCGTTATGCTGCAGGCTATAAACAAGGTATCTTTGTTTCCATGTATCGCGTCTACTCGGTGAGACCTGAAGACACTTCCATGTGGATATAAATGTAGCATATTAGGTGTATATATAAAGTAAACGACTTATCATCGACTATTTGTGCGTGTTATAGATAAACAGATAGATACAATACTACTGTGGCTCCCAACCGGTGTGCCGAGAGCTCTGAAAGATAATTATACATGAAATAACACGCACACTTGCAAGAACTCTGTACATTGATACTTGCAACAAAACCATATTTCTCTGCTTGACAACAATTTTATATTTTTATACAAGCAATTATGCTGTTAAAAACTGGTGTACTTATTAAACACTGTAGTTCTGTCTTCCAAATGCAGTGTCAAGTACGAACAAAATGAATACCCCAAGTATGCCGTGAACCAGGCGGAGGGCCACTGCGCCAGTACACTATAACGGCTTTGTTCTTCTGAAATGTATGTTATCTGAGCAGAAGATGGCACCAACCAGGAAAATTACTCTGGAGTAGGTAGAAGTGTCAACCTTTTTCTCTGGACAGCCTCGTGCGTACGGTCTTTCAATGAATTTCAATACATCAGTAGAAATACAGTTGCATTTCCATAACTGTACAAGTCATGCAGTTAGGTATTTTCAACGAACTCATATTTTGGAGACGGGATAGCGACTGCCTACGGGCTAGACAGCCGAGGGTTCGGAGTTCGAGGCCCGGTACGGTTAAGAATTTTCTCAACGTCGTCAAGACCGGTTCTGGGGCCCACCCAGCCTCCTATCCAATAGGCAGAGGGGGCTATTTCCCTGCGGGTAAAGCGGCAGGGTCATGAAACTGACCAATCACCTCCAGTTAGTGCCAAGGTCAAGAAAATGTGGATCTATACATCCACTCCCCCCATGCGTCTTCATGGGTTAGTGCTTAATTACTTAAGCACAGGGACGTAACCATATTTTAATATGAGTACTATCTACTGGGATGTAACACACAATGTGGTTTGGCAGAAATTCGCCGTTTCGAAGGAAAGAGCTGTTTCCATCTTCAGGGTAGAATAAGCCGGGTTAAGAGCTGGCGGCAATCAGACCGGACTATGTAGAGTTGCAGCTAGTAAGATAATACTCTTCAGTCTCTACTCTGCGAACCACGTAACACACATTTTAACAATTTCCGGTTGTACCCAACCCCACTCTAATTACCGTGCTGCTACCAATGTGTCTGAGACTTCATCAAACAATGGAACAAGAAATTCTATGATCACGTGTTCGTCAGAGGAAATAAGCATTAATTCAGAGAAAAGGGACGGTGTCTGGGCAACATTACAGACTGTACCATCCAATCTTATTCATTAAATTAATTAGGTCTTGTTCACGGGCAATGTCTACACGCTTTATGTAATCTCAATTGCAGTGGATCCATCCATTCGAATCAGTTTACTGGCGGAAGTAGACTGATGGCAAGGAAAACAGCCTCTCTGGGAGCCCGGTACTACTACTGCTACTCCGTACATATCTAGGAGCAGATGCCGCGTCGAAGCCTGAGTGGAAAACACCCCCCACCGGATTTTTTAAACCGACACTGAAGAAGGATGGAAGGAAATATGTCGAAAATTAAATTACAGTAGATTCTACATTTCCGGTCACGGTAGCCGAGCGGTCTAAGGCATGAAATGTCTTCGCTCGCTCGGAAGCCGGGATCACTGGTTCGAATCCCACACAAGGCAAGGATGTTTGGTGTGTTTATTCCGTTTTTGTCTTGTCCCGCGTTTAAGTACAGACCTTGCGCCGAGCTGATCACTCGTCCAAGGAGTCCTACCGTCTGTAAAATTATCATGTAACTGAAATTCAGAGGCCAGGGCCCAAGGGGGCTGTAGAGCCAGTGAAAGAAAAAAACTCTTTTACATTATTCGAGGTGGATAGGAAATTGATGTCCCTGGATAATCAGAACATATGAACTGGTATTTAAGAAGACAGTACAGGTACAAGTAAATACAAAACCAACCGCATTCTAGGCTATTGAAAGCGTTGTTAAACCATAAGGTTGTTCATGTGCTTAACTACTGAGGACTATGCCATGAAGGCGTACGGGGGGAGTGAATGTATTGATCCACGTTTTCTTGACCTGTACACTAGCTTTAGGCGAGTGGCCCACACCTCGGCCGCTTTACCCCCGGGGAAATATCCCTCCGTATCCCCTGGACTGGAGGCTGTGTGGGCCCCAGAACCGGTCTGGACGATGTGGAGAACATAACCGATCTCTCCATACCCAGGCCGTCACGCCTGTAGCGTCGCTATATCGACTGCTGTATAAACCATACCGGAATAAATTAGTAAAATAAAATTTCGAATATGAAACTTGAAACCGCCTCTGTGGTCTAGTGGTCAGCGTTCCTGGCTATAGATCCAGAGGTCGGGGTTCGATTCCTGGCGCTACCAGATTTCTTTGGGAGAAGTATTGGGTCTGGAACGTTGTCCAGTCAGCCTCGTGATGATAACTGAGGAGTTATTTCAAGGAAACAGAGGCTCCAGCCTAGAAAATCGAAATTAACGGCCGTGAGGATTCGTTGAGCTGACCACGTGACACCCTCTATCCCCTAAGGTTGGTACTAATCTTCGCTGACAAGCGGCGGTCGCTCGGTCGGTATAGTTCGCTTTTTTTTGTATTAAACTTGGTCTCTTACATTAGGGGCGTGCCGTAACAGCGAGCGGCCATCGAGTTTTAGTGGAAGGGAACAAAGAGATTATCACAATACTGACCACCGTGTACCACCCTGGTCTACAGCCAAACACCATACGGCAAACCAACCATTATTGGACGTAACAATAGGTCAATGAACGAGCAAAGAGGCTTCTAGTTGATACATAACAGTATTTTTTGCAAAATTCCAAAGCCACAGACATGGAATAACTAACGGAAACAGGGGAAAGTTATCCCTCTGCTAAATTAATTAGCACCAGCGACATGAAAACGTTTTGGAGGAGGGGAGGTACATCTCCAAGCATTCTTAGCATCGGCACGCATCTGAGACTCCACTCCTGGTACCCACTTGGGCCCAGGGCCGGGCAAGACGCTATGGAGAATTTCCAAACCCGGATTACACGGCAGTCCAGTCTTAATAAGCTAGACGCTATACCGACTCAGCCACCGCTGCTCCTACCCAAACGTTGTGGCGGGAAGTGTTTCACTGCATCAGTCGGCAGTGTCAAGAAAGCGCCACGATTAAATTAACAATGGGATGTGAGGTTCTCATGACGGTGAATATGAAGGTTACTACTGTCTTCTTCGAGTGTGAACCCGTCCAGTCTTGTAGAAGGACTAACGCTTCGGAGGATCATGTTCTTATTGTCCCTTGTACTGCGGCCACTTCTGGCGCATTGTACCAGCCCCAGATGATAGGTAAGGGTGATTGTGGAGCAACTGGTGGAATGGTGGCAGGGGAAACCGAAGTACTCAGAGAAAACCTGCCCCAGCGCCACACTGTCCACCACAAGTCCCACATGACCACACCCGGGATTGAACCCGGGCCGCCGCGGTAGGAAGCCAGCGACTAACCGCTTGAGCTATGGCATGACCGAGGATCGTGTTACTTCAACTTTAAGGACTGACTTCTACATCAAAGATGGAGGAAACAGGTTCATCCGAAGCATAAATACCCTTTTTCTGGCAGAAAATTACAAACGTTTCGGATAGTTACTCTGCCTCCAACTTCGCAGCAGACATCTACATATACCATCTTGAGACCCGACTTCTACATCGAACACGGGCTCCTCCCCGAAGTACCTCTGTCCACCAGACAGGAAACATCTCGACATATGCCGCATTTCCTACAGCTCCGGCACTTTTGGGTACAATATTGTTACAAAGGGGTAACGCGGTAGCTACAAGCCAGAAGGTCGCGGGTTCGATTACCGATGCCACTGGGTTTTTTCAATCACTCTAATCCTTCCAGCCGCACTATGGCCATGGCATCAACTCAGCCTTTAATTAAAATGAGTACCAGAAAATTTCCTGGGCGCGCAAGTCTGTCCTCACCGCCACCTGTGAGCCGATTTTCTACAAATGTGGGAGCCTCGACGGCCTGTTACAGGAACAGCTTTACCTTACTGTATCACAAAGTTGAAACAAGCAGCAGCTCTAACTGCGTGAAGAGCCTTCCCGTCTCTTTACATACGCCGGAAGGGCTGATTACTGCATTCCTATTTGGCTCACTCTCGACCCCAAACCCCAAAGATTGAAGCAGCAGGTTCCTCCGAAACGTTGAACAGGCGCTGCACTATCAAAGATGGTATTCCTCACATTCTGCGCTGTGAGAACCTCAATTACAAGACAAAGGAAGTAGACAGAGAATAGACAGTTCAGTTAAAATATTTAACAAAGTCACATTTCAAAACCCATCGATTCTCACATACAAGAAAAAAGAAAACGAATTCAAATTAAAGAGTACGTATACTATACCTTTCTTTCGTTTCCAGCACAACCACTTCGAATGCGTGTTCCGCAGTGCCATCCTAAAATTAGAAACGCCAAGTGTTACAGTGAGAACACGCACACAGAGTATAGTCCAACTATTTAGACCTGGCCGTTCTAAGAGAATGCGCACTGAATTCGGTGGAGTTCTGTAGCTCAGATCAGGGCTGTTGGATGTGTATGAGCTGTAACATACATGGCGTTACTTACAGTGCGTCACACTTCCTTCCACAAAGCAGCTACATCCACTGTTCCACTCCACTGTATTTACTCTAGCGCGCATTCTGGAGAACAGGTCTAAAAAGCACGGACTGTACATACTAATTCTTACAATACAAGAAAAACAGAACAAATCGTGACATGTGAGGTTCTCACAGCTGTAACTAATGATTATTCTGGGCTGTGACGCCGTCAACTTGGTGCACAGGTACTAGCGTTATCTGAGGGACCTGATCCTTCAATTCTGAGAGTAACAAGAACCAGGAACCCCATATTTTGGCAAACACCAACGTCACTACACGCAGATGTCGCACTTACGACTGCAATTCGGGTAAACTAACTCTGCGGATCCATACGCAGTCCGACACATCGCTGTAATAGCATGTAAAAATGTGGCTATTTGTCTTACAATAGGTACAGGCAACATACCGTAGCGTGTAAAGCCGTTACTATGCAGCGGCCGCTACATGGGCGGATATACAAGGGCAGTTTTTGGGAACGGCTCGGTTAACACGTTTCTGCAGCAACAGATACGAACGCAACAACGGTACAACAATCGAAAAGCTGTTTTCTATGTGGTCCGTGCCGAAATGTTACAAGATTTCGTGTGAATTCTGTACGGCAGTTCGCGAAGGGAGGACCTGAGCGAGTGATGCTGAAAGATCTCATAAGAAGCCGCTGCCAGGGAACGGCTGGCAAAGACACTGCAGGGTGGAAAGGGCTTAAAGGGTGCTGTGGGATTTGTCAAGTGTGAAGATTCGGAACGCGCTGCAATTACTTGTAATTACGAGTGTGTAAGTGGTCAACAAATCGAGTCACCAATCCAAACGCCGCCTGCAGTCACACATATTACGTGCAATACATTGGCGTTCCACTAGAAACCCAGACATTATGACGCCCCTAACTGAAACATTACATCAGCGTGGAGGGAAAAAGCCTTCTAAATCTCGTGAAGCACAACACCGATGAAATTATTCTTAAAAACTCAGCCCGTATTATTCTGCGTGTCCATGAAAAAGCCCGACCAACGCTACTTCGGGGCATAATTGCTGCTGTTCTGCGAATCTTACAACAAACACTCCGCGGGCAAAGTGTACGCTTTCTGAATGTTTTCATTACGTTCTCAATATCGCAGAAAATGGTAGATGGATGCACTGGAAAATATTTAGAACGAAGCGGTCGTTGCCTAATTACGGTCACACTATGGGATTTACTTGGGACTAAACAAAAAACCAAAATCCGTGGCTTTAGTCCGCAAGCGAATAATACCGACCGAGCGACCGCCGCTTTTCAGCGAAGTTAGTGCCAATTTTGGCGGATAATGGATGTCGCGTGGTCAGTGCAACGAATCCCCTCGGCCGTTAATTTCGGTTTTCTAGACCGGAGTCGTTACTTTTCCATTCAAGCAGCTCCTCAATTATCCTCACGAGGCTGAGTGGACCCCGTTTTAGACCCACAACTTCTCAGAAAATCTGGTAGCGCCGGAAATCCAACCCGGGACCTCTGGATCTGTAGCCAGGGACTCTGACCACTATACCACTGAGGTGGTCTTTACTTGGAACTGAGTAAAAATAACAAAACATGTCTCGAACGAGATTCGAACTCAACATCTTTCAAATTCAAGTCTTGAGCATTTCCACTATACCGACCTGTCCGGATTTCTTAACGTAAAAATGCTGGCGGTAAGAACAGTAACGAAGTGTTTAACGGGATGACAAAAGGTATGAGTCTTAAAGCAACTTCCACTTCCTTGACGATTCTGTCTGGATTCGGAGTTCCCTCAACACCAAGCAGGCCTACATTCTTAACGGGCAGCTCGCAAGATCACCGTCACTTTCATAGGCAGATTTCCCTATCAGCTACTGCGTGCCTAACTTCCCCCCAAGACTGAAACTGTTACGTGCGTTTATCGCTACCCGGCTCACCGCTGTCTCGGCAACACATCCTCCGCCATGCGGTAAATCCCTCGGTTCTGCGGCGCTCCGATCCCAGATAAACGACGCACTCTATATACACAATTTTCCAGAAAGACAAAGCTGTGGAGTATACGAGTGTCACGCCACGGCGGAGTGAAGGAACACGTGGAGGGGATGGTGGGGCGGTTAGACTGTGGCCTCAAATAGGCTTACTGTTATCAGTTCCTCGTCATGAGTACGGAGATATGGTAGGAATAACTGACAAGAGACAAACCGAAGTGGCCAGAGAAAACTTGGACCCAGCCCTCCGCGGCGTGATAAGGCAACTAACAAAATATTTACGTTTTGCTCTGAAGCCGCAGGTCAGTGGCCGCACGGTCAAAGGCAAGAAATATATACGCCCGCTCAAACAATGGGATCGTGGGTTCGAATCCATGGATGTCTGTCCGTGTTTCTGTTGTCTCGTGTCGGTATCGGCCTTGCGATAAGGCTAAATCACGTGTCCAAGCAGTCCTACTAAGATCCACGGTTTGGAAGCGACCAGAAGGCCGTGAAGATGATTATGTTAATAATATTTTGTTATTATTATATTATATTATTATATTATATATTATTATAATAATATTTTGTTACTAATTGGAAGAAAATTCATGACTAAAGCAGAAATCTTATAAGAACTTAATGTGGATGCCCGCGGTAGCGTAGCTGGTTTAAGAACCATGCTACAAGCCGGAAGGTCACGGGATCGATTCCCGATGAGGTTGTTTTTTCAATTTACCTAATCCTTTCAGCCGCACTATGGCCCTAGGGTCGACTCAACCTCTAACAGAAATGAGTACCAGGAATATTCCTGGGGGGTAAAGGGTGACCGGCGCGAAAATCTGACCTCACTGACATCTATGAGCAGATTGTGTAGAAAATGTGGGACCTCAACATCTCACANGCGTGCGAAGACAGTTCATGCCTCAGACAGCGCGGCCACTGTCATCGGGGATTTCTGCCAGTCATTACACGTAAAAACTTCTTCCAAGCTTTTCGGCCTCTCAATAATCAACGCATCGAAATACAGACATTTCGCATCCTACCTTTAAATGGGCTGATATACCTGGAAGACGTCAATATAAATTTACGAGAGCAGAAAGTTACGACATGTCGGCGAGCGACGGCTAATAGAGAAGACTAGGCGTCTTTTCTACAGAGAGTCAAGTTTCCTACAAGGCCAGAAGAGGCAACGAGTAATTTAAATGTAAGATACGAGGAAGAGTCAGTAAACAGGCCACAAAATGAAGTAAAACACCTGCAATGTACGTACTAAGTTTTCTATTAATATCAGTAGGTAACAGCACAGTCCAGCTTCATGAGTCTAGGTAGCGGCCACGCATGCGCAACTTCAAAGACTGCTTTCAGTAGTCAAAATGGCGGCCATGCTTTAAGAGTTCATTACCCAACAGCGGTGTTTTGTTGTGCGTTCTTTTGCGATGGAAACGACTACATGCAAGGGGCAGTCATAAAGAAATGTTTGTAGCATAAAACGGTTCACACCTGGTTAGAGTAATTGTCTCAACGACGTTCCAAAGCCGAAGATGATGGCCGACCAGGCGCGGAAGTGGCTGAGACAACAGTCAAAAGACTTTTATGCTGCGGATTTGGACGCACTGACGTGATGGAACAAGTGTATTAATGTTACTTTTTTCCCAGGTTAAAATATCAAACAAAACAAACTCTGTGGTTTTAGTCCGCAAGCGAACTATACCGACCGAGCGCCGTTTCCCGGCGAAGTTAGTGCCAACTTTAGAGGATAGAGTGCGTCATGTGGTCAGCGCAACGGAACCCCACGGCCGTTAATTTCGGTTTTCTAAACCGGAGCCGCTATTGCCTTGAAATAGCTCCTCAATTATCCTCACGAGGCTGCGTGGACCCCGTTCCAGACCCACTACTCCTCAGAAAATCTTGTAGAGCCGGGAGTCGAACCCGGGACCTCTGGATCTGTAGCAAGGAACTCTGACCGCTATACCACAGAGGCGGTCCAGGTTGGAATATCACATGTTTTAAATTTTATATCTCTTTCTGACCTACTTACTCACTCTCCTTTGTAAAACATCTAAAAACGTGTAATCTGTATTATACTCAACGAGCCTTTTAAGAAGGCCGAATATATTTCCGTGTTGTCTTTGTGCAGAGGCAGAGAACTTGGTATGGCCACAAGAGTCCTACCGAATGTGCAACATATCAAATGAAGCACAAACTCTTACACTAGGAACTAACGCAGTGGAAAATCTGTCAAAAGATACTAAATATACATGTCTCGCTCCTTCTGTACGGACGTTGCTAAGCGTCTTGGCTCACCAATGATCAGCTGTGTGGAAACAGCTCCATTTAAACAACGCTTCGGCAAGCTGCCCCACAAACGGTCGTGGATTATTTAACGACGCCTTCAGTACCGAGACTACACTGCGGCGGACGACAGGGTGACTGGAAAGAATATGGATGGAAGTGGTCGTAGCCTAATCGAAGTTACTAACCCGGTATTATCTTGGTGGGACTGAGGTAAAGAACGATAAACCTGTCATGACAGCCGGTGTCCGGGCAAATATTCGAACCCAGCACCTCCCTAATACAAGTTCACAGAGTTATCTCTACAAGAACACTGAGCAGGCGCTTATCAGTTCCAACGGGTCTTCCAGTAGCAAACCCTTAAGTAATGTGATCTAAAATAAAGCAGACGAGTCCTGTTACGATGCGAACAGACTGACAAGACATGACGAAAGTAACAAGTGGTTTCAGAAATAACTGTTAAAAAATCAAACCCACAATACTAAAGAAACTAAACTCCGCTGCTTTTAGTCTGCAAGCGAACTATACCGACCGAGCGACCGCCGCCTGTTGAAATTAATGCCAACTTTAGC